AAGACAGACAGAAACAGAGAGAAAGAGAGACAAAGAGACAGCCAGAGGCAGAGAGGAGAGAGACAGAGACAGACAGACAGAGAGACAAAGACAGACAGAGGCAGAGACAAAGAGACAGCCCGAGACAGAAACACAACAGGAAAGTCGAGGGACAAAAACTGCAAACTAGCCCCACCCCCGACTGGATCAACTGAGGAGCCTTTCACTGCTGCTGGGTCCATTGAATCCACTCAGACTCAACGTGACGGGGACGACTACTCCATAGGGGTTTTCTGGCTGTCATCTTTACGGGAGCAGATGGCCAGGTCTTTCTTCCATGGAGCTACAGGGGGTGGGGTTTGAACCAACTTTCTGGTTGGCAGCTGAACACCTAACTGTTATGGCACCAGGACCCCTTATACCTCTCGCTCTAGATACAGAAGGAAAGGTGTCTCCTCCTCTTGGGGGGGGGGTGGCAGAGAAAAATTGCTCATGTGGATGTATCAATGCACTTTAGCCTTTACTCTTTCTTAGACACAATAATCAGCAACCAATAAAAACTACAAGATGTGAAAAAACAAGACTAAGACTCAATCAAATACCACTGCCACCAAGTCAATACTGACTCACAGAGCCCCTGGAGGACAGAGTAGAACTGACCCGTAGGGTTTCCAGGGCTATAAATCTTCACAGAAGCAGACTGCCTCATCTCTCTCCCATGAAGTGGCCAGTGGGTTCAAACCACCGACCTTCTGGTTAGCAGTCCAATGCTTTAACCACAGCACCACCAAAGCTCCTTATAGGACTCATTCAGTCAAGAGAAAAATCAGTCAAAAAAAATAGACCTACCTATAGATGACAGAGATATTAGAATCACCACACAAGGACTTTAACTGTGACATGTAAGCTTCAGGACATGATGGACATGAGTGAAGGGACAGGGCTATTTCAGGAGAGATTTGAACACTGTGAGTATTATCCCCATTTTCTAGATGGGATGACTGAGGCTGAGATGAGATAAGCAACCTGCCTGAGGTAACAGTGTGTCAGCTGCACGGAGGTGTGTTACCTCATTTAATCCTTGTAAGTATCTCAGGGGACCTCAGAGGGTGTCCTTGTGTTTCATCATCGAAACCAGGATACTTTTTCTCTTTTCATATATTGGTGTTGAAAACATACACAGAATATACTCCGATCCAACAACCCCTCCACGGACAATTCGGTGACCCGATTCTGTTTCTAACAGTTGCACAACCAATTTCAACCTCCTTTTCTGAACTGTTCCTCCCCCACTGATATACACTCACCACCCCCTAAGCGTCTGATCTGACCTTCTGAGAAAACACGGTCAATTGGATTCTATACAGATAGTTCTTTAAGAGAGCCCAACGCTCAAGGCAGGCATTCTGTACTAATTAAAGTAAACGTTTGTTTGGTTTAAAGAACAACTTCAGAGGATATTTTTACTTTAAGGTTTAGATATTAACTCTAGGAATAGTTCTGAGGTTCACCCAGGCTCCATGGCTCCAGGAAGTCTGGATTCCATGGGAATTTGAAATTCTGTTCTACATTTCCCCCCACTTTTGCTCAGGATTCTTCTAGAGACTCGCTGATCAAAATGTTCCATAATCAAACCAGGATACTTTGGAGAATAAAAGGAAAACTCCTAATACTTACGCTGGAACAACAGGTATGAATCAGGGGGATGGGTGCCCTGGCATCCCATCTGATGGAGGATCAGTGGGAAGAAGCGTCTTGAATGTTACTGGTTCTTCACAACGACCACAGGAAGCACAGGCTGGCGTCCTGGCCTCCCCGCTGGATGACCACGGGTGCTCACCTGGTCGAACTTGCGCTGCTTCTTCTCCAGCGCGCTCACGAGCTGCCGCTGTTGCTCCAGATCCACGGTGGCGTCGTCCAGCTCCTGCTGCAGCCGCCGGCGGCCCCGATCCAACCGCTCCACCGCCTCCGTCTTTTCTGCCAGGCGCTGGCTCAGAGCCTCGGCCTCCCGGGCTGCCCGTCGCCGTGCCTCCTCCCCGGCCTCCAGCGCCCCTGCTTCCTCCTCCTGGCGCCTCCGCCACTCTGAGAGCTGGGAGGAGGGAGGAGAGCGTCGGTGGCAGACACAGTCACCACCAAGGTGTGGGCTGGTGGTGTCTGCACTTCTAAGACGAGGAGACTGAAGCCCCCAAAGAGAATGGAACCGTTCCCACTGGGCCTGCTGCCTCCGAGGCAGGTTGAGGTCGTGAGAACTGTGAGTCCTGGGTCCTCCAGGGCTCAGAGATGAATCCGATCTGGCTCCTGCCCTGGGGAATCTCCAGTCTGATGGGGGAGACTGAGTCACGGGAGAATAGAGGCTAAGGCAGAGGAAGCAGGGGACCCTCGGGAGTCCAAAACAGGGGTTGGATTCAGTCTAGAACATTTAAGAGAGGCTTCCTGGAGAAGGGGACATTTGAGATGGGTCTTGAAGTATGTGTAGGAGTTCACCAGTTGGAAAGGGCTATTTGAAGACACACGTTTATCACTCATTCATTCAACAGGGTTTTTTTTTTTTTTTCAAAGTGTACCGTATGCCAGGTGTCATGTTGGGTGATGCTGGGGACCCAGATCTAACTCTGATAGGGTCCTTCCTGCACAGTGCTCTCAATTTGGCAGGAAGACTCCTGACCACAAAAAGCCGTGGCCCAGGTGACTGGAGTGGTGCAGAAGGAGAAGGAAGGGCTGTGAAAGTTCAGAGGTGGCAACCCATCCTGCCTGGAGGTTTCCCACAGCAGGGGAGGCTGAGTTTTAAGTTAAGTTGATTTAAGAATGAAAAAAGGTTTTTCTAGGTGAAGTGGGAGAGATGAGAGATGAATACAGCTGAAATCAAGGCGGCGTGGAGGATGGAGGCCTTGGAAGCCTGGCTGACTACGTGACCATGAGACCAGAAGAACTAGATGGTGCCCAGCTATCACTCAACCACTCGGAAAGGGATCAGTGCAGGAGATCCTGGATGGAGTGGGAAAACAACGTGGAACAAAACTCAAAATCATAAAAAGGACCAGGTCTGGTATCTGATAGAGCCTGGTGAGCCCCCTGAAATGTTGGCCCCTAGTTACTCTTCAGATCTGGAATTGAACCCACTCCCGTGGCTTCTAACCAAATAACTGACAGGCACATGGGGTGAACATTTACATCAGGTAATACACTCCTTAGAATGATCAATCATGGGAGAATAGAAGGGCAGTGTTTGCACAGGGGACAGCTCAGGGGGCAGGAATGCATACGAAAGAAGGACACAGGGAAGAGGTAACTACGGGGAGGAAGTGGGAAGAGAGCTGTTACATTGTGGGGAATTGCAGTCAATGTCATGAAACAAAATGTGTACGAACTACTGTGTGAAACACGAATCTGCTCTGTAAACTTTCACCCTAATCACAATACAAATTAAAAAGAAGGAGAAAAAAAAAACAAAGCCTGGCTGAGGGGCACAGGCTCTGTCTGGGGAGGCGTGGGCCCGAGGGCTTGAGAAGACGCCGAGGTGAAGTGCCTCAGCTTCATTTCAGACGCGGCCTGAGCCAGGGCTGAGGCTGTGGGCACAAAGAGAAGGGCACAGGGCAGTGCCAGGAGGCAGGAGGGCTGTGGGGAGTAGAGAGGGAGGGGCAGGAACAGCACCCACGGCCTTGACCTACTGACTTGGTGGACAGTGAGGCAGGCTGTCATGGATTGAACCATGTCCCCCACGACTGATGCTCAAGTCCTAGTCTCTGTATCTGGGGACGTGACCCTGTTTGGAAAGGGGTTGTCTCTGTTCTGGTTACGAGATCATCCTGGAGTCGGGTGGGTCCTAATCCCTTCAGAGAAGTATCATAAAAAGAGCGGAACAGACACGGGGCCTGCGGTGTAGTAAATTACTGTGTGTGGCTTTTCTACCCATAAGTCTTTGTAAAACTCCAAGGTGGGATTTGCTATGAGCAACTGAGGAGCTCCTGATTGCTGAAGGTGTCCACCTGGAGTATTTCTGTTGGGAGAGGCACAAAACAATGTTCTGGGAGGTGCCCACTCTCTCTCAAGTGCTTAGCGTTCTGATGCTGTGATTGGCTAGTTTGACCACCCTTTCGGGCTCAAAAGGAGGCCTCCTAGAGGCAGAACTCTCTCTGACTGCTGGTGGAGGAAGACGTGCTGCTGAAAGAGACACGGGCTCCTGAGACACGCATTGCTGGGAAAGACGCAAGAGACACGCATCGCTGAGTGAGACACCGAGGGACCAGCACTGCTGGGAAACAGACTGTGAGAGACTGTTGGCTGAGGGACGGTGGGCTGGGAGAGAGACTGAGCGTTCTTCCTGAACTTGAGTTGTAGCCTGGTGATTCCCTAATAAATCCCGTAATCCGTGAGTTCTGTGTGGCCACTGCAGCGAATTACTGAACCCAGGAGAGAGGTGGTGGGTGCTTTGGGAGGAACGGTTGGTGAAAGGGCTGGAGGGAGGCAGCATGTGTGGCCTGGCAGGAATAGGCCTTGGGTTACTGCTGGTAATCCTGTCTTCCACTTGTGGGGTTAGAGGAGGTCAGAACACGTGGCCTCCTTGCTGTTTTTGCAGGGCGCACACCAGACAGACGCCTCCACAAGGCCAGGGGCGACTAGAAGCTGAAAGAGACTAAGGAGGACCTCCCCGGGGAGCTCACACCCTGACACTGGAGGTCCCGTGTCCTCGACACCAAAACGAGACCCGCTGCTACCAAGCTGATTCTGCCCACAGTGGCCCTTGTGTTACCCAGTGGAACCGGGTGCCACACGGTCCTGGCTGTCGTCTTTATGGAAGCAGGGCAGCAGGCCTTTCTTCCGCTGGGTGGCTTTCAACTGCCAACCTTTCTGTCAGTCGTCGAGCCCCCTCAATCGAGGAAGTTAACTTCCTGTCCTCTGAGGGCACTCACTCGTCATTTTTGTCACAGCAGCAGACTAAGCCCCTGACCCTGGGCTGGGGGACCCAGGGAGCGCAGGGGGCCGGTGCCTCCCCTCCGGGCCTGCTGGGGGCGGGGCTGCTCACCTGGGCCTGGGCCGCCTGCAGCTCCCGCCCCGCGCGCTCCCTGGCCGCTGCCTCCTCCTCCAGCTGCTCCCGCAGGCCGGCCGCCTCCGCCTCCAGGCCGCGCACCCGGGACCCCAGGCCCAGCTTCGCCCTGGTCTCTTCCTGCAGAAGTTCCTGTAGACCGAGCGAGAACAGATGTCGGCCGGGGTCAGGAGGAGGCCGGGGGTTGGTGCCGGGGGTGGGGGGGTCAAAGGGCGGGCCGGGGTCACCTGGGCGTCGTGCAGCTGGGCCTCAGTGCTACTCAGCTCCTTGCTCAGCCTGATGGCTCTGGACTCGGCCTCGCTCAAGGCTCCGGAGACGTTCTCCAGCTCGGCCTGTGGGGAGGGGCAGCGAGGTGAAGCCCACCCAAACCGTTCCCTCCTCCAGCTTGGATCCACCTCCCACATTATTGGCAACCTCCTCCAACGGTTACATTGTTGTTAGCTGCTGTCCAGTCAGCCTGACTCCCGTCTGCTCCCTGCTCGCTGCACAACGGAACTAAACCCTGCCCCACGGTTGGCTGTGCGTCGCTGATCGGACACTGTGATCCGTTGATTTTCACTGGCTGAGTTTTCCAAGATCTCCAGGCCTTTCCTCCTACTGTCTTAGCCTGAGAGTGCCGCGGAAGCCCGCTCAGCATCAGGGTACCATGGACGACAGGTGGTGGCCGTGCCTGAGGTCCCCTGGCTGGGAATTGAACGCGCGTCTCCTGCAGGGAAGCTGAGATTTCTGCCCCTAAACCACCACAGCCTCAGGGTGAACACAGAGAGCTAGCCTGCCATCCTTATGGGAACAGATCACAGGCCTTTTCTTCCAGAGCCACTGGGTGGGTTTGAACCACCTTTTGGCTAGCAGCCAAATGCTTAACCACTGCACCACACGGCTCCTTAGAGTTACCCCCAAACCAAAAATAATAAACTCACTGCCATGAGGGCCATCCTGCCTCACAGCGCCCCTAGAGGGCACAGTGGAACTGCCCACAGGGTCTCCAAGGCTATCAATCTTCACAGAAACAAAGCCCAAACCACACCCACTGCCCTGGAGTCCATTCCGACCCACAGCGCCCCTAGAGGACAGAGTGGAACTGCCCACAGGGTCTCCAAGGCTGTCAATCTTCACAGAAGCAAAGCCCAAACCACACCCACTGCCGTGGAGTCAATTTTGACCCACAGCGCCCCTAGAGGACCGAGTGGAACTGGCCCACAGGGTCTCCAAGGCTGTCAATCTTCACAGAAGCAAAGCCCAAACCACACCCACTGCCGTGGAGTCAATTTTGACCCACAGCGCCCCTAGAGGACAGAGTGGAACTGCCCCACAGGGCTGCCTTACAGAAGCCGACCGCCTCATCTTTCTCACGTGGAATGGCTGATGGGTTTGGTTAGCACCTGACTGCTCTAACCACAGCACCACCAGAACTCAGATTTACCCCGTGACCCAGCAACCCCACTCCCAAGTGTGTAAGAAATGAAAACCGAAGGCGACCTAAGAACCTGACGACAAACTGCTCAGAGAAGCGTTACTCCTCACCTGGGCTCGCTGCAGCTTCTCGGCGGCCTCGGCCCGGGCCCGCTCCCCGTCGCCGGCGCGGCCCTGCACCTCCTGCAGCTGTGCCTCCAGGCGGCGGCGGCGCTGCTCGCCTTCCTGGCGCGCGGTCTGCAGGCCACTGAGCTCGGCCCGCAGCTCGGACACCTCGGCCTCCAGGACCAGCCGCGTTTTCTCCCACGTGCCTTTGCTCTGGTGGGGGGGGGGCGACGTGCAGAAGTTACTCAGTGTCCCCCTCCCCGACCCACCAGGCCGGGGTCCCCAGGGTGCAGCGGGGGCCTCTCTGAGCTTATGGAACGCCTTGCCTTCCTCCGGCGGCCACAAAGCTCACAGCACTGGGTGTATCTGCGGCCTTGTCCACCTCCCCGACCAGGCCAAGAACTCTCCGTGGGCAGAGCCTGGAACTGAGCCATTTCTGGGGCCTGGGATTACATCCCATGGGCTCTGCTCCAGCCACCACGGCCTCCTCACTGCGCCTTGAACACCCAGGCCCATCCCTGCCTCAGGGCCTCCGCACAGGCTGTTCCCTCTGCCTGGCACACACTTCCCTCCCACGTCCACACGGTTTCCCTCACCTCCCTCTGGTCTTCATTCAGGCGTAGCCTTCTGGCAGAGCTCTCCCGTGGCCGCTCCATTCAAAGTCACAAGCCACACCCCCTCAGCACTCCGACCCACCTCACCCCGACGCGACAGTGTAGTGCATATGGGTCTATCCTGTTTACTCTGTGCCTGGCCCACCAACATGTGAATGCCACAAGGGCTAGTTCATTGCCAAGCCCCCAGCCCTGTGCCTAGAACATACTACGCACTGAGCGCTTGGTGAGTGAAGGATGAAGAGACATGATTGCGTGAGGAAGGGACCCCAGCGAGATGGGCTGGCCCAGAGCCGACCGAGGGCCAACTGCGCAGGCGCAGCACTGGCCCCGCCCACTCACCCTGCGGGCCTGCTCCAGCTGCTCCGCCAGCTCTCCCAGCGCCTGGCCGTGGCGCTGCCGAACCTCCTGCAGCGCTGCCTCGTGGGCTTTGGCCTCCTCCTCCAGCGCCTTCTTCAGCTCTGTCACTTCCTGCTCCCTCTTGGACCTTTTATTTTGGGGAGGAGGGGAAGAGAATTTCAGAACTGAGGGAAGGCGGAGACTTTGGGGGAGCTTCTGGCAGATGGTCGTGCCTCCTGTCCTTGGTTTGCTCTAAGGACGGGGAGCTCACTCCACATTCTCCATTCTCCAAGGGATCTGTGCAGTACTGTTAGGAGTGTAGATTTAAAGGTGAACTCCTACACATCTCTCAAAACCCCATTCAAATGGCCCATCTCAGGAAAGTCTTCCTGGACTGTCCCTCTATAGACTTGATTTAGGGTCTTCTGCATCCCCAAGTAGCTCTGGTGGCCTAGCGACTAACGCACTTGACTGCTAACCAGAAGGCTGGTGGTTCAAACCCACCAGCCACTCCTCAGAAGGAAGATTGGGCATCTACTTCTGTAGTGATACTGGCTCAGAAATCCAAGGAGGGGTCGCTATGTGGGTCCAACTTGATGGCAATGAGTTTGGTTTGGTTTGGTTTTTGGGGTGAATAGATGAATAAGACGTGGTCCGTCCACACAATGGAGTATTAGGAATATCATCAGCCATAAAGAGAAATCAGGTCTTCCCCACCCCCAGGCCCGTGGTACAGCCTTCTATTTATTTACTTCTTAAATTTCTCTCAGTATAGTTTGTAATTTCCAGTACAGATCTTACACATTTTTTAATCAAATTTCCTATATATAATTTTCCCTCTTCACCCAGGTTAATGTGTGTCCACCCTCTAGTTAGTGGTTCCCCTCCCACCCCTGGTAACCTTCAAAGAACATTTCTTTCTGTGGGAGACTTCCCTCGGCTTTTCACAGTCGTGGTCTCATACTATCGTCCTTTTATGACTGACTAGTTTCACTCAGCATAATGTCCTCTAGGTTCATCCACATTACGAGATGCTTCTCAGGCTCACTGTTGTACTTTGATGGTGCATACTATTCCACTGTGTGTGGACCGTGGTTTGTTGAGCCATTCCTCCATCGACGGACAGAGAAACAAGGTCTGGATGCACGTTACAGCAAGGATCGACCTTCAGAACATCAGGCCGACCAAAGTCAGGCAGTTCCAAAGGGACCAACCTCGATGATCCCGCTTACAGGGAATCGCTAGATTTTGGCAAATAATGTGGAGGTCAAAGTTGGTGAGGGTTTCCTCGGGTGGGAGGTGGGAGAAAAGGAAGCCACTAACTGGGGGGTACTGGGTTTCTGTTTGGGGGGTGACGGAAAAGTATGGGAACGGGCAGTGCTGATGGTGCACAGTACGCTGAACGTAACTGACGCCATGTGCTGGACCCGCGGAAAGTGTTGAAAGGGTGAAGGTTTTGTTATACGTGTATATGTGTGTGTGTTTTCTCTTGTCAATTCTAACTCACGGTGACTGTGCTCAAAATTGTAGTTGACAGGTGGTTGTTGTTAGGTGCTGTTGAGTCATCTCCAACTCGTGGCGACCCTACTACGCACAGTAGAACGAAACACTGTTCCTGTGCCAGGCTCACGATCCCTGCTACACCTGAGCCCATCGTTGCAGCCACTGTGTCAATCCATCTCGTTGAGGGCCTTCCCCTTCTTCCTTGACCCTCCACTTTACCAAGCATGACATCCTTCTCCAGAGAATGGTTCCTTCTAACAACATGACCAAAGTAGGTGAGACGAAGTCTGGCCATTCTTGCTTCCAAGGAGCATTCCGGCTGCACTTCTTCCAGGACAGATCTGTTAGTCCTTTTAGCAGACCATGGTACTCTTAGCATTCTTCTCCAGCACCACAACTCAAAAGAAAAGCATCGACTCTTCTTCGTTCTTCCTTATTCGCTATCCAGTTCATGTGTAGGCAACGTAACATTAACCATTTCGACCTCTTCACATGTACAAATCAGCAACATTATCTGTTCATCACGTTGCTCGACCATCACGAACAGTGCTTTGCTGCATATTTTCCTGTTATATACTCACTTCTCTGTGTGTACATATACACATGTGTTTGTACACGCACATGTTTCTTTGTCTAATCCTGAAGCAGCTCTGGTGGTGCAGTGGATAAGGCACCTGACTGCTAACCAGAAGGTCAGCGGTTCAAACCCACCAGCCGCTCCACGGAAGGAAGATGGGGGCAATCTGCTTTCATAAAGATTTACAGCCTCAGAAACCCAATGGGGTCACTATGAGTCAGAATCAACTCAATGTCAGGGAGTTTGGTTTTTTGTTTTTTCTCAGAGAAGTGAGAGCCAGAACATGAATACGCACATCTATGTTCATGGCAGCGCTACTCACAATAGCAAACAGATGGAAATAACGTTAAGTGTCCATTAACAGAATAACCAAACTATGGGACATACACCCAATGGAATACTATACAACACTAAAAAATAAGGCAGAATCTGTGAAACACTGCATAATGTGGATGAACTTGGAGGATATCACATTGAGTGAAGTTAAGTCAATCACAGAAGGACAATACCGTATTAATTCATTACTGTAAAAACTCAAGGAAAAGTTTATATATGGAAGCAAACTTTCATTGTTGGTTACCAGGGTGGGTGGGCCTGACACAAGCCATGGTATTTCCAATCGCCTCGTATGCATGTGAGAGCTGGACAATGAATAAGGAAGACCGAAGAAGAGTTGATACTTTTGAGTTGTGGTGCTGGCGAAGAATGCTGAAAGTACCGTGGACTGCTAAAAGAACTAACAGATCTGTCCTGGAGGAAGTGCAGCCAGAATGCTCCTTGGAAGCAAGAACGGCCAGACTTCGTCTCACCTATTTTGGTCATGTTGTAAGAAGGGACCACTCCCTGGAGAAGGATGTCATGCTTGGTAGAGTGGAGGGTCGACGAAAGAGGGGGAGGCCTTCAACAAGATGGATTGACATGGTGGCTGCGATGATGGGCTCAGGTATAGCAGGGATTGTGGGGCTGGCACGGGATCGGGCAGTGTTTCGTTCTGCTGTGCATGGGGTCGCTATGAGTCGGAAACGACTGGACGGCACTTAACAACAACAACAGGGGTGGGAGGGAGGGGAGGGGAGAGAACACTGCCAGACGAGCAGAGACAAGTGTTGATTTGGGTGAAGGGAAGGGCAATGCACCAAATGTGAGCGATCAGCACAGTGGCACCGAGGAGGAGGAAGACAGAGAGAGGTGCATGGGAGGTAAGACAACAAAGATAACGCTTTTACACATACAGTACTGCGCTGTCAGTGAAGGCAAACGTCGATAATATGGGTGGATAGATGGGTGGACAGGCTGAATGACCAGGTATGTCTAGGCAGGTGGAATGTGCCCATGACCATGTTTAGGACTGGCAGACGATGTTTCTACACGTGTATTTCTATGTGCTGTAAGAATGTCCGGCTGTATGGTAGAGCTGACAAGGGGCAAGGTTGTGGTGGCTTCTTGGTCACAGCCAACTACCTGGATGGAGTGAGTAGTTGGACCTGTGGGTTCAGAACATGGTCACAGGGGACATCAAGCTCAACTGGCATAACATACTATACAAAAACATTGTTCTACATCCTACTTTGGTGAGTAGTGACTGGGGTCTTAAAAGCTTGCAAGTGGCCATTGAGATGCAACATTGTTCTCTCCTCATCCAGAGCAAAGAAGAATGAAGAAAACCAAAGACGCATGGAAACCATTAGTCTGAGGGAGTAGTGGACCATACATATGATCCTCAGCCTATATGACCATGGGACCAGAAGAATGAGGTGGTGTCTGGCTACCACTGTGAACCGCTTGGAAGCGGGTAAGAGCAACAGATCCTGGACAGAGTGAGAGAACAATGTGGAACACAACTTAAAAAAACACCAGGTTTACCGGGGGTGAGAAGGGGGGGAGGAAATACTACAAAAATTAAAAAAAAAAAAAAGACTTTTTTAAATCAGGTTTGCTGGCCTGATAGAGCCTGCTGAGACCAGAGACTATGGCCTGGAACTGAACTCAGTCCTATGGCTTCCAGCCAAACAACAGACAGGCATACAGTGTGAACGTTTACATCAGGGAAATATACTCCTTGGAGAGATCAATTGTGGGAGAACAGAAGGACTGTGTTTGCAGAGAGAGAAAGCTGGAGGGGGTGGGGGCCGGAATGCATAGGAAAGGGCACAGGGAGGAAGTAACTACAGGGAGGAAGTGGGAAGAGAGCTGTTGCATTGTGGAGAATTGCAGTCAACGTCATGAGACAAAATGTATATGATCTGCTGTATGGGAAATAAATTTGCTCTGTAAACTTTCACCCAAATTAAGAGTGAAATTAAAAAAAAAAAAGTTACATGCATTTCTATCACAATTTAAAAAACGCTTTGAAAACAAACTAACAAGCTACATTAGGAACGTTTGCTTTGAATAGAGCGCTCTTTCGAAGAATTACCCACAGGCCATCAAACTGACCGCAGCAACTGGAAAGGCTGGCCAGGAAGCTTAGAGGCAGTGAGTTCAGGAGAACGGAGGAGGAACAGCTCAGCAAAGGAGGCTGAGGAGGGTCGCACAACTTGAAGACTGAAACTAGTGTCAGTAAACTGCTCATCTAGAAATTCCAATACGTGCATAGTCTCCACAAGAACAGAAAGTAAAAGTCACGCAACTGCTGGACGAATGGACCACAAAGTCACAGCCTGCTTCCACCACACTCCGCCCAACGGCCTGGCCCCGCCCACCCACCGGCCCC